TGCCAGGGCCACCAGGACACCCTGGTTGTCCCCATGCCAGGACCAGTTTTGGCCAGGACCCATCCTCTGACAGCAGGCAGCTGGTATCACATCCCACGGCCCAGGGAACATGTGCCCATGGTGGGGCCATGGTTGGGTTTGGGGGTGACATGTCTCTGCCAGCAGCAAAATGGCTCTTCCCGGGATGTCATCAGGTACCACAGTCCCTTGTGCTAGCAGGACTTCGGGACAGGGATGCTAAGAGAAGGGCCTCACCATCCCCAGGGGTGTCACGGGAGGGGACGTGGCCATCGCTTTGCCTCCATCCCATAGATTGTCCTTGGCATTGTCTTTGAGTGCTCCATCCCTGTATCCACCTCCATCCATCATCTGCAGCCTTGGATGTGGCCTGGTGGCAGCTGGGTTTGGTGGCTGTCAAATGTCTGTGGAGTCCCGTGGTGCTTGGGGACATGAGGGTCCCCCGTGCCAAGGGTGCTCCCAGTGCCCACTGTGGTACAGGGACAGGGAAGGCTGGGGATGAGGAGAGGCTTGGTCCGTGCCATGCCTGGGGAGGGAGAAACCCAAGCCAAAATGGTGACGGTGAGAAAGGAGGTGACCCTGTTCCAAGCAGCGGGGACACGTGTCCCCTCTCAGTGGCCCTGGGGATGCTGGCTTGGCCCTGTGGCTCTGGCATGGCTGGTGGAGGGGACAGGGGCTGTGGGGCTGTGGGCAGCTGGTGGCCCATGGGGACTTGGAGGTCTGGGGTGTCATCCCCTCGTCCTCTTCTGCTCTGCAGCAGCGGGATGCAGGATGTAGGATGCGGGATGCAGGATGTGGCTGTGAGCAGGCAGGGGGACATGGGATGCAGCTGCAAGGACCAGCGGGTGCGGGACATGGATGTGACCGGGATACGGGATGTGGGCAGGAACGGGCAGCGGGATGGGGGACGTGGACGCAAGGAGGAGGGTACAGATGTGAACACAAGCAGGATGCAGGGCACAGGATGTGGATATGAGCCGGTGGTGGTGGGACTCGGGATGCGGGCCGGAGCGGGGTGAGCAGCCGCCCTCCCGCGGGGCTGCCGGCAGAGCTGCCTCAGCACAAGCTGGCAGCCGGGGCCAGGCTCTGCTGCCTGACGCGGCCGATGATTAATGACTGTTATTAGCCTCGTTAATCGGGCTGGGCAAACAGTGCTGGCGAGGGGAGAGAAAGGCACGGTGCTGTGGGGGCACTGCTGGGGCTGTGGCTCGAGGAGGGGGCTGCGGTGCCTCCCCCCACTGCAGAGCTTCAGAGGCAGCTGCAGCATCCAACTTGGTTGCAAACAAGCGGCGAGGGGCCAGGATTTGGCCCGGCAGAGGGGACAACGCCTCACTCCGGTGACTGCCAGCACCGGCCGGGGCTGCGGCCGC